AGATCACACTATTGTCTCATTCTATTTAATTCTACTGTTGAAAAGCAGTCGGTAGGGGGGGGAAAAGGGTTTTGAACTCCTAATTTGTAAATGACTAACAGGCCTCTGAGGGATCTTTGGATTGACAAAGATATCTCCAGATTTCTGGAATCGTGTCATGAGGAAAAGATAATAAATGATCTTTTAAATGAATTAGCACCTTAACTCGGCATTGGTGGCGTTCCAATGGGTTCCAATCCAGGGTCCAGCTTCATCTTTACTCAGAGGTACCTCATGAGTTTTACTGTTCATTCTTAAAGTCACTACTTGCTTCAACCCTGAGCTACGACCACGTAGTTTGAGCGGTTTATCTTCTCTGCTGATAGAAGAGGCAGCTTATTGTCGTGTGCAACTGTCACCATAAGATGGCGGTAAAGCACAGAGAAACCCCAGCAGCTTTACCACTGCTGGGGCAACGTCTCTGGCACTGATGATCTTGAACTGATAAAATAGCTCCAATATGATAAAATATCAAATAAACACGTTAAAAACAAGAAGCAGCTATCAACATTTACAGACTGATCAGGTTTAGTTGGCCTTTTTGATGAGCGTGAACTGAGCAGATGTCAGACTGTGGTTGACGTGGCCTAATCTTTTATGATTTTTTTTATTTAGCCAAAACGCTCCTGACCATGATGCATGGTCAATAAAACCCTCTGGACTCTCTGGCCTCTGGACGTTCTCTACATCGGGGCATCTTTTTCCGCGCGCTGCTCCTCCTTATCCGCGGGGGCTGGCGTGTGCGTGTGTCAGGTCTGACCTTCCCTCCACAGACATAATGCACTCCGCTCCACTCTGTAAGCCATTCTCTGACGCCCCGCGGGGGGCTCTGGCCGTTAGGGACGCCACCTCACGGGAGCACAATGCAGCAAAAGAACCAGATAGACGGAGAGAGCAGCGAGACAGTGAGAGGGCCGGCGCTCGCTCTGAGGGCGGACGCGCACAGACACGCGCGCACGCACGCAAACGCACGCAAAAGGACGCACACTCATGCAGTAAAGTTGCAGAACTGTGATGAACCGGCTAACCTGACGGCCTGGTCCTCTCTGTATACGGGCGCTCTGAAATGTCCTGCAACTCTAAGCAATGGCATTCACTGTTAACGTCAGCGTCCTCCTGGCTTCACTTTTTTCTCAATCAACTTGAAGTCGTGCATCAGCTAAAACAGGTTATGCAAGGGATCAAACACAGGCATCGGCTACAGGCAAGCATTTCTGCCCTGTGAGCTCTGTCTAGGCTCGGTGGGGGGGGGGGGACTGGCACAAGATGGGCGTTGCCTCTCACATGTGGTTAAGAAGGAGTTATAAACGGTACACAAATTACCTTGCAAATATCCTAGATTTACTCGGTTCATGACATCGCTCGCAGTGAGATTAGAAACGTCCTCTACAAGCCAAAGAAAGGGGAGGAGAGGGAGGGAGGGAGGGAGGGGGGAGAGACAAAGGAGTCAGAGAGAGAAGGAGAACAGAAGAACAGATCAGGCAGGCAGTGTAAGGCGTCTGCAGCTTGAAAAAGAGCTTCAAAGCGTGAGAGCCAGAGGCTGTGCGTTAAAAAAAAAAGGGCCATGCAGAAAAAGTGCAGCGGTGAGCGGAGAGCAAGCGGCGGGTGCTCCCAGACCTCCGTGCACAGCGCTGGCAGTCACGTGTCGGTGTGATGGGGGCCGTGAGGGTGTGCATGCGGATACACCGGAGCCAATGGGGGAGGATTATGATGTGAATAAGATGGAAAAGAAGAAGAAAAAAAAAAGAGATATTCTGAGGGATAATGAAGATACAGAGTTGTGTTAAAGACATCCACTGTGGAGACTTTCGGGGTCACAGTCTGAGTCAATGAGATGAGATGCACTGAGTGCAGATTAGACTCTCAGAGAGCTGAAAGAACTGGACCGGTGGAGCAAAGCCTCGGTCAGCAAAGTGAAAGGATCCGGTAAAAGTTTCCTATTAAAATGCTATTTATTACTGATGACGAAGCCTGCTTCGATTAGAGGAGTCCATTATGCTCCATTGAAATGACAGTATAATTGATGCTGGAGTCGGAAAAACAAAAGAAAAAACGAAAAAAAAAAACGGTTTGCAGCTACATAAATGCTTCGCCTCATGACTAATCTTACTAATAGGGGATTAGGAACAGACAAAAAGAAAAGGAGGCCAACTGTATTTTTTTTAAAATATAGAATGAAGTTAAAGCTTTCGTCTTGAAGGTGTGTTTCCACATCTAAAATAAACGAGCTGACCTTAAACTATGAGGGCACAAAAGAGTGCCTGGCTTGCTGATTAATACCCCATGATTCTAACTGGGAACTCCTCGGATAAAATTCATAAAGCTCCGAGAGAGTTCATTGCCGGCTTTGACAGGCAAATATATAATTTCTAAAAGAAATGTGAGGAGTTTTATTTAAAATGAAAGAGTGTTCAGGGGTCTGAAAACATTACAGAGGATCAGATCGATGATCTGGGGGGTCTTACTGTTCTAATTATTAAAAAAGTCCATTTAGAAAAATAAATACTGAGCTAAATAACCACCTCATCTGCCGACCTCTTTAAAAAGGTCCAGATTTTTTGCTGTAAACTACCACCGTCTGATATGTGTAGGGAAAGCTTTGCTTGGCTCACAGAGACTCGCACCACCCGGTCTGGTTGCTTTTCTTTGGTAGCTGCGATTTTAGCCGACTACTTCGCAACTCCGGGCTCTAATCTGCAGCAGACATTCCCGTTTTCCCATCGCCCACGATGAGGATGTCTGATGAGGTGAAATCCAAACAGGAACGGGGGGGGGGGGGGCCTGTTTGACCCTCGCTCACCGTAGCCCACGGTGGGCAGGCCCAGGTGCTTCATGCGGTTCTTGACCAGCTCGGACAGCTCCTGGCGCTCGGAGCGCCGGTACAGGTTGAGGCGCTGCTGGGAGATGCGCTCGGCGCGGCTGGCCGGCTTGGCGCTCTTCCGGCTGAGGCGCCGCGCCCACTGCATGCTCTTCTTCCTCAGCAGCGGGTGCTCCGACTGGTCGCTGGTGGTGGAGTTCCGGTGGGCCGTCTTCTCCTTCCAGGACTCGCCGCGGTCACGGTGCTCCTCGCCCGCCTCCATGTTGATGGACACCTGAGACTACGGGAGGAGGCGCGGACAGGAGTTATTTTGCGTGGCCCTGAAGGCATCTATCCGTCCTTTTATTATGCAATTTGCCAAGTAGGTGCTCCTCCACAAGGGGAGGTGAACAGAGAAAGGGCTTTGGAGGAGCTCAGAAAGGAGATCGAACAAGGTAGATTTTAATTAAAGGATACGTTAAACACACACTCAAACGGACCCTACTAAAACACACGCTGATGTGGTCATGTGTGATCACCAAAGACGGCGTCGTAGAAGGGGCGTTTGTAGGTAGATCTGGATCATAATCTTTGAAAAAAAACTGCCTGATACCGAAATAAAAATGGACTTTCACAGTCTGCTCTTATTGGTTCAATGTGCAATTAATGAAGATTGGCCACCAGGCTGGTCTAATTTAGCCAGGAAACCTCCCACACTAAAATGAGAAGTGTTTCGTTTTTTTTGTCCAACCCCTGTATGTCTCTCATTCATTTCAATGACAGTTTTAAAAAAAAGCTATAAAGTAAAAAATAGGCATGGCACCCATATCCAGAACAAGCTGAACATTTTCACATGTGAAAGGCTGAAAGCGGGTGAAGCATGAGGAAGGACTTCTAATCGGATATAACGAGCTGTGATAAAAAGAAACAGGGAAAAACAAAAACCATCATCTGCAGGAAGCAGGTGTGGGTCTTACCTGAGCATTATTGTCCCTGCCCTGAAATCAGAAGACAAACAGACAACCAAAAGAGAAAAGGATGCAATGAAGGATGGGGGCGTCCGAAGCAAATGAGATCATTCACAGCTTAAAAAATTCAAACCGGATTTAGAAACGTGGTGCATTTGCTTTTTCAAAGCAGGACATTAAGGTGGGCCAGCGGCTGTTTACGGATAAACCGGAACTCCGCTATGTGTCCACCGACACAGGAGTGTGTGATCCAAACACAGCATTTCAAATACAGGGAGAGGACAAAGCAGAGGGAAATGACTCATATCAAACTCTAAAAGGCTGGGGGGGTAGATAAAGACTTGCCTCTGACGTTGAGAACATGTGGGACTCGGTGCGGTAGATCCCGATGGGGATCTCGGCGCTGGAGGAGCAGAACTTCTGGAAGAGGCGGCCGTAGGTTCTGATCCACAGGTCCTCCTCGGTGATCTTCATCTGCGAAGCCACAGGGACGGTCAGTTGAGCTCGTCCGGTGGCCTTTTCTGACCGGAGCTTTATGGAGGCGGCGCTACGTACCACACACAGGTAGCCGGAGCCCGGCGTGGTGTCCAGGCCCAGCAGGAGCCGCGCAATGGCGATCATGTAGTCCTTCACGAACGACTGTGGGGGGAGACGCAGGCTGAACCGGTGCCACGGACACCCACAACTCTGACTTAACCCAGCCCCCACCCAAAAAACAGGGACATTTTCTTACAGCGAGAAGAATTACAACAATTATCTGAAGCGGTAATGATAGTTTATTCAAGCGGAACTCTTCCAAAATGAAGCAAACCTGGTAGAGCAGCGTGTCGAGCATGCTGATGCTGAACACTCTGCCGGCGGCGAACGGCAGCCGGAACATGAAGGCCAGATTGGAGCCCTTATCGCGCTCTATCTGGAAAAAACAAAACAAAAGCAGTCAAAGAGCCCGCTTGAGAAACGGAATTTCGAACCTGATTGGCCACAGTTGACGGTTAAATTGGATTTTTTCTTAACTCATTCGCTGCCAAAGACGTCTATAGACGTCTTTTCAAATCCGACCGTTCGCTGCCAAAGACGTCTATAGACGTCTTTTATGTTTTTCAATTGCGAGTGACTTGGGGGACGATCGGCGAAAGTTTTTCCGTAAATATCGGCTTCTAGACAGAGTATGGACTAACAAATTTACCCTCTAGGTAGCTGTGCCACTTTTGATGGGAGATTAGCATAGATTGTAAGCAAATAAAAACAAACGCAATGGTTCGCTATGAGAGAAATGGCGCCGGTGAGACGCACGTCGAAGAAGAACGGAATAAGGTAGAAACAAAATTTTTTTTCCTGATGATAGAAGAGAGTCTCCTCTTTCTTTTGGTGTGTTTGGTGTTTACATAGTCAAAGCACAAACTATTCTGTGGCTCTTGAAAAATCTGTCAAAATTCTCAAAAAACTCTGGCAGTGAGCGACTCTCTGTTCTGAAAATGGCTGGCAGTCAATGGAAAAATGTAGGTCAAACAAATTGCACCTCGCGGCACAATTCTGCACATAACCAGCACATCGATACAGGCGTTTGACTCTGATCCAGATGGAAGTTTGGTTTGGAGTCAGGAGTCGGCCTTTACAAACGCCTTTTGAAACGCTTACCTTCTCCAGTTTGGACAGAGCCAGGGAGTAGCAGTCCTTCGCTCTGAACTGCATGAACCTCATGTTGGACGGGTGCGTGAGCTCCGTGATGATGCTGAGACTGGGAAACAACCTGCAGGCAAGGGTGGGAGGAAAGGGGAGCCCTCATTCTCTGTGCCAAGCTTCGCGGCACAAGCAGATCCGAAGAAAAGCCCAGACGGCCAGCGGCCGCTGAGGCTGTGGAGCCTATAGCCCGAAGAGCCCCCCCTCCGTTACCTGAACATGGTCTGCACGTTGACGATGGTTTTGGCGTCTGCCATGTAGTCTTCCTCGGCGCTCATGGTGCTCTCCTTGTCGACCACCACCAAGTTGTCGGCGTAGATGATACCACACTGGAGCAGGTTGTCCAAACTGGTGGATGCAGAAAACAGTGGGTGTCGTGTCCAAACAGGAAGTATCCAACACGCTCTGTCATGCTGCATGCTTTAGTTATAATACCTTCATTTATGGATTTATTAATTGTTTTCAGCTTTTCTAACGGGAGATATCACACGTCACTAAATTACAGGTTTTCCCACTAAAAGTAGTCCTTACTGAGGAATTTGACTTCACTAAAATCTGTATTTCAGTTTCCCAGCTTTGCCTTAGAAATGTAAAGCAAAACCCTTAGGTCAGCCAGAATGACTTTCCAACTTAATCTAAATGGTGAGAATAACTCTTTTTCCAAAAACAAAACTGTTTATTACACAGTTGGTTCCACCAAAATTTCTTTTTGGAAGCCACAGCCTAAACTGTGGAGGCTTCCTGCTTAAAAAAATCATTTATTATTATTTTCTTTATCTTTTCCTTGGTTGGTTGGGTTTTTTCGACAGTCATGTTGCTGTTCTTGAGACATTCTGGTGAAATAACCAGTCTCAAACCATCCTAAGTACCCTTTAAACTGTAAGATTCCTGATATCAATATAAAGTGACTCTTGAAAAAAAAAAACAGAAACGTGTAATGAATGAGGTCAATTAGCTCTGATGTAAAAACACTTACTTATCAATAGTTCCAGTCATGAAGTAAACCATTGGGAAGCAGCAAATGGCCTCTAAGAAGTGGTTGTCTGGACTGCAGAGCACAGGAAACAGGACTGAGCGGCGGGCACTAATTACCTTCAGTAGACTATCACACTGTCTAAGCCATTTCCTGAAATGTGCCGGCTGATGAAGGCCGTTGACATAGATCAAAATTTCTTTTGGATAAAAAAAAAGGGTGATGAATACTTAATTCAGCAAAATCTGGTTGCTATGGAAACTCTCATGGATGTTGTCTTTACTTTAGCAAGAGATTTGCTGGCTCTGATTTACTGTATTTCATGTACTGCTGTGACCAAAGTAAGTGTAAATCAACACGGGCCGGCTCTTTCTTTTCTTTTTGAATTTTAAAATTTGAAAGTTTAATAAATCTTCTGACCCTTTTTTTCTCTCCTTTTTCTCCTTTCTTTTCTGTCCTGGATCAAGAAGACTACTGTAACCAGTTTATTCTATAATTGTTTAACGTATAATTGAAAAATCTGCAGCTGGCATTTTGGATTCCTTAGAAAATATCTAATGAAGCTAGAAACAGCATTAGCAAACTCATAATCAAAACAATGACTAGTAGGTAAAAACCAGGCGGGATGAGAGGTCTTACTGGTAGTCCAGCAGCAGCACTATGGGGTTCAGCTCCTTTCTAGGCCGATAATAAGCCCGCAAAGGGACGATGAAGTTGTAGAGACCATTTCCCGCAGTCTCTGCAGACACTATAATCAGCTTATTCTTGAAGCCGTACGCCTTGGCGTCCTCAAAGCTGTTGTGTTGGCAGCCCTGGGTGGAGACAGAGTTCAAAAAGGAGTCAGAAAGGCTCTGAGATGCTGTGCTTTCAGAAAATGAAAATGTTCCCAGTAATTTAAAAGCCAATGCAGGAAGGTTAATGAATGTATGAGAAGGTTCCCCTGTGAGCGTGGGTTCACCTTATTAAGGCAGAGGCAGCAGAACGGGGCCTTCTGGGGCAGGAGGTGGCACAGAGTTGGAGAGCTGCCGATGTAGGGTGAGTTTGGAGGGTAGCCCTTTACAAAGCTGGTGGGGAAGAGCAGAGACATCCCGCCCAAATCTCAGAAACACATCAGCTCGACAAAGCTAAAAAATCTTGTTTATCCTTGTTATTTCTTATTCTTGCATGCCATTTCAGCACGAGGATCAAAAATTCAAACTGTGCAGATACTCATTCGACAGTGTGATCTGCAGGCTTCTGAGATCCTGTGAATGCTAAGGTTGTGCCATTAGATCTCACTTCTTTCACGTCGGTAGGCCTCCACTCCACAGACGTTTCCATGGTTTCTTGGCAAATGTGACACTGAGACTGGTGTCAATTTTATTTGAACATTTCCCCAAAGGGACAACAGAGAGAACGCTAAAAAATACATCTTCTTTAGTGGGATAATTAATGCAATCGACTATCACACTGATTCTGTGATTACGACAAGTTTCTGGTATTCAGCTCGTTATTAGATTGCACAGCTGCTTTGCTCACATTAACGATGTCTGAAAGCCTGAAGAACTAATGGCATTAAAGAGCCTGCTGCGGTGTAATTGGGTTGTTTTGATTTACATCAAAGTGTAGTGTTTGATTCCGGGCCCTCTGATTCGTGATGTGTCGGACACAATCCCCTTAATCCCCTTCTCCGTGCCCTCTAATTTACCAATAAGAACCTCTAACTCAGTTTGAGATTTGGCCGACAGCTCATAACCACACGATGGCGCTGTGGAGCTGTTAGCTTCATGTCATCCCAGCAGGTTTGATGGCAGGGGGGGGGGGTATCCGCTCCCATGATGCGCCGGCGACTTACTCTGATCCCACCGAGCACTCATCGTCCGATTGGTTGGTCTCGTCCTCGGACTGGTCGCTCAGGAGGTCGCAGGGCAGAATGGCGGACGAGTCGGCGATCTCCAGGACGGGGGCGATGCTCGGCCTGCGGCTCCCGGCGCCGTTCTCCGTGGGTATGGCCAGTTTGCCGCTTTCCTCCGGGGGCTCCGGGTGCTGGAGATCTATGGCTACAGTGCCTGAAAGTTAGATGAGGGTTTTTTTTGTTTTGCTTTCGCTTATGGGCAGCAGCAGTTGCAGCTGTGTAGGAGGAGCACGTGAAGCGCCTTTACTGCCATTGGCACAGAAAGGCAGAGGCACACCAGTCAATAACCGTCTCCACACTATCAGGACAGTTTCACCTTGAGGAAAAAATGCACAGCCTGCGTGGAAAGGCAGGGCTGCCTGTCCAACACGCTTCCAACACACATGGAATAAGACAAATAATAGAGTATGTGCAACACAGAGGTGGACTATAACTGAGCATTAATAGTATTTAGTGAGAAAAACAAATGGCATGAAGAAACATACCATATTAGGTAGCCTGATCAACTTTTATCAAAAAATTAAATAAAAAAAGCACATTATGATGATATCGGCCAACAAAATGAAAGAGCTGTGAGGGAAACCAACACGAAGCCAGCCGCCGCTCAGAAAGGCCCGGCGTGCGGTTTTCAGAAGCCTCTGATGTGGAACCATATCAGTGGGCGGATGCTCGGACTGGTGCTCAGCGGGAAAACAACACGCTGCTGCGTTTCTCTTTTGTCCGCGTGCAAAAACCCTTATCACTGAGCATCCTTTTCTCCGGTTCGGAGCCTTACCCATGCTGGCGATGATGCTCTGCACGGGCAGCCTGGAGGGGGCGTCGTAGAGGCCCGTGACGGGCATCCCCGTGTTGTGCTTCTCCTCCTGTTTGAAGATGAAGGCAGAGTTCTCCTCCTTGGTTATGTTGATATAGTAGCAGGTGTCGGTGGCGGCCATGATGTGGCGAGGTCCGGGGTTCAGAAGGATGCTCTTGTTGTCTTCTCTCTTCACCCCAATCAAACACACGCCATACCTGCAAAAAGAGCGTGAAAATGGGCCTGTGTGTTCAACTATTCGCTCTAATGGGATTAAGATGAATTGTGGCGAGGGAGGATAAAGCATGTGGAGGATTTACTGACTTCTTATGGGCGTGGAAGGAGGCATAAGTGAAGCTCTTCCCATCGTACTCTCCGAAAAACTTGCTGTCACATAAACGGATGTGGTAGACCTCGTTCCCCGAGCAGCGGCCGTACATCCTCTGCCACTGCTCCGGCGACATCTGCCCCTCCCTGGAAAAGGATAACCACAGTATTCACCGCTCTGTTTCTGCCGGAGGAAAGTGAGTAGAGCTGTTAATACGAGTTGACACATTCGGTCACGGGTTCTTGTGTCTCTATCATCCGACTGTTCAAGGACATACACTGTATGTCACAGCTTTTATTCAGTTAAATGATGTTCAAGATAACGTTTTGATAAGAGATTTGTATGGAATTTCCCAAATTAAACACTAAAACAACTGGACTGAGAAAAATAGAACTTTTCCAGAACCCAAAAAACACTTTTCTTTATACTGTTCCTGTTGGTTTTACATTAGTCCTCAAAGACATTCAAGAGCATGGTTAGATAATATAAAAAAATACTGCAGGAAATAGGATCACATCATATTTTCATTAGCTTTCCCTTTCAGATCCAGTTTCTAAGTGTTTTTAAAAATGAGAATTGAGTAATTGCTCTAAATAATTGAGTGATCAATATCAAAATCGGATGATTTGAAAATTAAGTTAGAAAAGTTAAGAGGCAAGGACGGATCAGATTTACCATAAAGACTAACTCAGGAAGTTCTCTATGGTAGCTCAAGGCCCAAAAAATAAAAATGTCCATAATCTATGAACATTTTTTAATCTCCTCAACCTTCAAATGGAAGGTGTATGTCGGGTATTTCGTCCTGCAGGGTTAGAAACCCAGGTGTGAACTCACTGTCCTCTGGAGGTGTGCACCAGGAGTGTGACTAAGGTGGACGTGGCGGGACACACGCAGTTGAGCGCCAGCATGGCGTATTTGAACTCCTCCTCACACACCACGTGATCTGTTGAGAGGGAGCATGCTGCAGTGAGCCATCCCACTTGAGAACTCTCCAACGAAATGGCAAACGATTGCATTTCACAAGGGTATTCGGTCCTCTTTCGCTGACCTGCAAACTTCACGTGAAACTTGTTTTCTGGTTTGAGAATCTGGACGTAGAGAGGGCAGTTGGGAGCAAAGTCCTTGGCGGCCCACGCCCTCAAAATGGTCTGGTGATCCTGAGTGGGTAGAAACGACTTCATGTCATTAACGCGCTGGCCAATTTATAAACTCAACGTTGAATTTATGGACCTGTAGACTGCATGAGCTCTAGCTTAATGGAGTCACAACACCATCTGAGTACCTCCAACTCTCCAGGCAAATATTAGCAAGCAGAGTGTGAAGAGATATTTCACTCTAATCATCAGTCGGTTTAGGCAGTAAACACAGTCAGCGTCTGCTTTGACAAATTTCCGTTGGTGTGACTCACGGCAGCGGTTCGGTCGACCTCATTCCTGCTGCTCAGGATGAAGCAGGCCTCAGCATCGTCCATCCTAAATGAACGGAAGACAGAAAAACGATGACCTGATCACAGGCAGGTGGCTGGCGGAGGGGTAACCTCCAGCAATAAGCAACACTTTTTAGTCTTAAAAGCACCCTGCTGTCATGCTGACAGGCAGAGGGAGGGAGAGAGAGAGAGAGAGAGAGAGAGAGGGGGATGAGGAGACGAAATCATTTGGCGATTATCAGCTTGAAGATTTGAATGTTTTTGCTGTTTTGCTATTGCTAGTCACCTACTTATTGTGGTGCTCCTCTTGTGGAGGGGATAGGTTCCTGAACAAATATGCAAGCCATCGAGAGGTAGTTTTACTCAATTTGATGATAAGACAAACTGCATCTACCTACGAGCAGAGAGATTGTCATGGCACTACAGTGCAGCGGTATTATGGACCCGCAAAGGGAGTATTGGCAGTTCAAACTAATTTCAGCGTACGCTACCGCAAATTCTAACCCTCTGAGCAGGTGATCAATGCAAAGTGAAATCCCATTACACTGATGTGCAAACAGAGGGCAGCCAAGTGAGCTGCACCTTGTAATTGCACTTCAGCGGCGCTGTGGCACCAGTGGAGGATTCAGAATTTAAATGAAACCATGATTCCTGTGCAGGGCATAAACAGGCCGGCGACATGAGCACTTGACTGAAAATCCAACCCACCGGCAGAAGAAGAAAAAAATAATAAAACACGGTGCGATTTATCTCTGCTTTCATGCATCTGTCTAAATGTGAGATTAACAAGCCATGCTTTCTCACTTGGCCCTCATCAGGTCCTGGTCTTTGAGGGTAGACCCCTGCAGGTAGATAACCCTCTGGGACCACAGAGGGATCTGGAGGATGCGACGAACCTGAATGTCTATCTCTGTGGGACACAGGATCACGACGTAGTAGTCCTGGAGTGGAGGAGAAAAAGATGTCTCGTCCTCCACGTATTTCACAAACCATCACGCCGCGAGGCAGCTTCATTTATAGGAGCAGAAGTCCCGGCCCGACTCTCTCCACTGTACCTGCAGTCTGGGGTGAGCGTAGAACTCGTTGAGGAAGTCCATCAGCAGGTCTATCTTCAGCGAGCTGACGCACAACACCACGTGCTTCTCAGTCTGCGCCCGGTGACGGCTGTAGTTCCCCCCCAGCTTCTGGCTCTCCATCCACAGGTACGCCAGCTCCTCAAACTGACACAGCAACAAGAGCGCTGGCGTTAGTCCAAAGGAATAAGGCATGATTCAAATCTGGGTGCTGGAAACTGGTGGGAAAATGGGAGACGAGTAGCTTGCTCTCACCTGGCTTTGCACCATTCTATTCTATTCTATTCTATTTTATGCTATACTATTAACAGCAATGGTGTTATTGAATGTTCAGTAAATATTTGGAGTATCGGCTTTAAAGCCTCCATCTTTTGACGATAACTGCATCAAGGACAGCCACATATCCAGAAAGTGAAAACGTTTCTCATTCTCTGATTCAGTTCAGACAGACGTGTGTGGTATGTTACAGGCCGACACCCCCCCCCCTCCCCCTGGGGGCGCGCTGGCATGGCCGATCACCTGTAGCGGAAGGACCACCAGCGCCACACAGATGAGGATGACCACCAGCAGCTGGGAGGGCCAGATCTGTGGCGTGACGTCCCCGTAGCCCACCGTGGAGAAGGTGACGATGCAGAAATAAAAAGAGTCAAACAGCGATAGGTTCTTCCCAGCCCGCTCCAGGTGCTGGATCCCACAAGCTCTGCAGGAAAAAAGAAGAAAAGCCTAATCAGAAAGATCAGACAAAGTCCAATGGGATGAAGATAACCAAACTTAAACGGGTGGATGCAAAGCTCACAAAGCGAGCCGCTCCAAGATAATGAATTAACCTCGTTGGGAGCGAATATCTGAATTCAATTTGACCAAGATGAAAGGGCAGCAAAGTCAATACGGCGCGGGATCTCGTTTAAAGTGACACCGCTGATTGGGCCATCAGTTCCCTCTCACTGATTGTGCTCATTCATTAGTGTTTTGTTCCTGACAGGCTGAAGGTCTAATGAAATCTGGAGGCACAGGGAATGAGGTGGTCTAACAAGACAGAGTAAAGCAAGCAGGTGCTGAGGGGAGATCAGGGTCCACTAAAGGGCTCTGACCCAACAGATGCAACCTTTGATTCAAATAAACCGATGCATTTAGAGCGGAAAACAGGATGGCTTCGATCGGAAAAAGATCCAAAATGCCACCCAAAAAGGGCCCGTACATGAATGTGATCTGCATAGATCTCACCAGACTTCAATGCTGGCTTTAATCTGGCAGCAAAGCATTTTCAAGCGGTGGTGTTTTCCAATGACTCTTTTGCTGAAACTTTCAAGGTGCTTTACGTCATTTTTCCAAATGTCTTAGTTTGACACTGCAACGCCGAAATAGAAAAAGTAATCTGGCTTAAAATATGTCAGCAGCATGTCATTTTTAGCCCAGTGCCTCTGGCAGTCCCGTCACCTCTCTCTTGCTTTGTGCGTGACAGGAACAGAAATAGGCAGCGTTTCTTTTGCAGGGTGACTTTCTGTCAAAGGTCGATCATTAAAAAAAAAAAAAAATAACGGTAAAAAAAATAAATGTCATCAGCACACAGTGTCCACTGCCGGAAGCCGTTTGAACAACAGACGTTGACTCACCCGGTGAAAACCAGACACAGCAAGGTGCAGATGAGGATGAACACCTGGTTGAACATGGCAGAGTGGGTCCTCTGGATGGCACGGTGGAAATCATTCTGGGACAAAAAAAAACATAAAGATCAGTAGAGATCCGTTCCTAAAATGTGCAAACTGTCGATTAAGAGGTGTTTTTTTCGAAAAGAAAATGCGGATAGCAAACCAAAACTGTGTAAGACCTGGACAAAAATGTAGTTTCTTTTTTTTTTTTTTGACAGTGGAGATTAATTCAATTCGGTCACAGACTTTCCAAAGAAATGAGCCAAAGAGGGCTGGTGCTGCTTGTTCACACTGACTTAACAGGGGCTGCCAACAGTCATCCCAGCTCTTGGTGTTGTAAAATCGGAGGAAGGACATCAGCGCCGGCGCCCACAGCACTACGCTCACATCCTCTGGCTCTCTTTTTTACATTTATAATTTGGCTCTCTGACAGCCTGCGCTGCCGACTCGGATACATCATCTCTGCCCTGCTCTCTGCCTCTGTACCTCACACTCTGAGCTCATTGTGTCACACACATCGTTTTATGAATTGGCACCCCAAAAATTGTGGCAGATACATGCAGCTTTAATTGGATATCTGTTATTTTAATTTGCGTCAAAGTTCTGACAGCAAATGCTGACGAGAAAGGGGGAGAAACACAGATTTTTATTTTCTACCAGATTAAGGGAAACGCAACAAATTTGTTCATAAAAGAACTATTTATTCAGTAACTCATTTGTTGAGACATTCCGAGTGTAAACCCAGTGACACCACAAAGGCACTCCCACATTGACATCCTGTCCATCTTGATATGCAGTAACTCAGGGCTGTTTTTCAGTGGCACCTTGTTAGCATATTTTGCGCGCCGCCTCCTTCCTGCTGGTCCCAGATTCTACCATCTGCTGACAACCAGTTTGGCATGATACTCTCACTCTGTCGTGGCCTCATCTGAGTCACAGCAAGTGCCCATACTACACTGGTTAGGTAACAATCTAGCTGCTCTGTGTGCCTCGTTGCAGTCAGTTTGCACCTTTAGTTCTGGGTATTATGTGTGTATTTACATGTATATATACATATACATGCACATACACACACACATCTGACAACAATGTGTTGTCTATGTCTATTTTTGTGCTTGCTTGTCTTGTTATTGACAACGATGGAGAATCTTAAGGGCACAATGTTTTTTTTTCATTCACCTTCATTCATTCAAAAAGTATAGGATGTAATGAGTGTAATTGAAAACATGTTGCAGTGTCAAACTGAAAAGATCTATCGGAAAACCTGCTTATACCCAAACAGCATGGGCAGGCTGTCGTGGCTTTTTCTTCTCTCCGATAACAAACCGGTTTGACACCAGGCTGAGTGACCTTGTCACACAGACGACAGCGCTGTGCTCGGATCTGATGCATCCAATCAAAGAGCGTCAACTATCCTGAAAAATCAAACTGGCCTATCGGTTTTCTAGAAGTTAAGCATTAAACAAGTTAACTGTAGAAACGGTGCTGCGCCCTTAAATCCTGCAAAGGCTAAGAAAAAACATGTAGTTGTGTTTGCCTCCCGAATATAAACAACCAAACAACATCTAGAATCTAGTAAGCGTCTTTGAGTCTTTGAAAAGAGATATACAAATTCAATGAAATATTATTATTACTAGATGTGAAATTATTTAAAAAAAAACACTTACAATCATGTTCTCTAGTGCACCTTTGGCAAGCCAGCAGTTAAGAAATACGGGGACAAATATGTTTCTTAATGGGGACCAGAAGATCTTTAAAAAAACACAAATAGACATGAGAAAAGTTTACAAATGAATACATCATACATCATTTTGTAACAAAAAAACAAGAACAATCATGGGTAACTACTCACTGTGATAATAAATGGCACTGTATTGATCATCTCCAATATGAAAGATATCTGGAAGATCTGCTCCCAAATGTTCCCCTGGAGCAGAAATGATAAGTGGATCATTTCATCACATTGTTTTAAGGAGAAAAGTAGCAAGTGAGCAGTACACAAGAACCTCCACTGTTACATGAAAACAATGTTGTATGAGAAAGTAAACAACCGCACTCGTCTGTGCTATGAATCTTAAGTTCATGTCACAGTGCAAACAGAACAAAGAAATGAAACAGAGCAGATTGAGCCACGTGATATAAATAATATTAGTACTGGCATCTTATTGCTTGCTTGTTAAAGCTCCTGCTGGTTATGCTGAGCTACCATGGAATGTCAGTTTAATTGCATCTTGAGTTATTTAAGATTAAATTTTCAATACTGCCCTGAATGAGGAAAAGCTCAGGCCTAACAAGCACTAACCTTAAATCGCAGCCACTGAAAAGATGCTGCATAAAGGCTTCGGTTGATAGTCAGCTGAGGTACAATACAATATTTTTCGTCTGTGCCATGTCCAATTAAATAGCAGGAAGCCCTAGATAACATCCAGAGATGTGTTTAATGACTGGATGTGTCCAAATCTTTGATGTTTAGGGTTAGGGTTGTGATGTCCAAGCATTCGGTACCTCCAAATTAGCCACAGAGAGAAGGCCATCTTTGATCGACTTATTCAAAAATACAGTAGAAACCTAATTTAACTCGTTCCGGGACCTACTTCGTATTTTAAAACATTCGTATGTACTGTAACTTACTGTAACTTTCACTATGTGAACTTTAAACTAACTTAGCTTATTTACTTTTATTTAATTTTGTTTTTTCTATGACTTCAACGTCATTTGTTAGAAATTTACTTCGGATGTAGGAAAACTGGTATGTTTACTTATCGTAAGAGGTTCTACTGTACGTAAAGCCTGTACTGCCAGCTCTGCGTGCCCCACGGGGGATTTGGCCCTGAACAATGAACGCTCTCGCAGGAGAACAAACACCCTCTACTGAACTTAATTAAAAGGTTGTGCGATGCCGGTATGGATTAATGAGGGTGTCTGCACTTTGAAGGAGTCTCTTACCTTGTAGCTGAGATATGTGATGAGCATAGTCTCTAAGAAACTGATTAAGGCCACTGTCACCTGCAGCAGAGGGGAGAAGGAGATGAATGAGCATTACACTTGCAGACTCATCTCTTTTGCTTCTCAGCCTTCACTGAGGAACAAAAAAACCCAAAAGCTTTGTGTTTTTCTTTAACAGAAGATACGCAGGGATTTTCAGAGCCGGATTACAAATCGACGTTCAGCTGGTCCAAATCAGTTTGATCTCTGAGAGTTTTCAGAGTCACATTTCATTCTCTTACCTGTATCGCCCACACAGGCTCGCGTCTGTTTACCCAGAAGATCAGCACCCTGTCAGGAACCATAATTACAAATGCGACACGCTTACAGAACACACTGTGGATCATTACATAGCATTTTGCCTCAAACATACCAGTTTATTCCTGATGATTCCGTTGTGTTAAGCGAGCTGTTATTCCGACATATCACACTGCAGAAAAACACAGCAGAGAGGGAAACATCTAAGTGTATTTTGGGGGCCATGTTATAGCTTTAAACATGATTAAATTACTGCCCAGTGCTTATCCTCCGTGTTTGCCAGAAAAAAAGCTTTGTCTCATAGCAGGTCATTGAGCTTACAGAGAAGAAAGCAGAAGGAATTCTGGATATTTTTGTAAGGATAACTTACGTGGGTGGGAAAACTGAGACAAAGAGTCTGCTTTCTGATACTAATGCGAGCTACTGTTTTTTGGGGGAGTAGCTTTGTCAACAGATCAGATTTGGACACTAACATGCGCGTTGTCATTGTCGCCAAAGCATTCTCAAAGGTCCAGGCTAGCAGGCTTTAAATTAGGTTATACACTACCTAAATGGAGGGAAGGTTTGGGAGTTACAACAGAGACGAAGCAAACTCAGTTACTCATTTAGTGAAATATACTGACCCTTAGGCAGGGTAGAGAGAACAGCCAAACAACATCCACAGGGGATATAAGATGAATATTATAATGATAAAAACATCTTTGTAGCATTCCTTAGGCAGCTAAAGCGATGAAAGCAGCACATCGAAATGATTTGAATAATCAGCCGGTGTGGTGGCAGCTGCTGGGAGAATCTCACCATGGGTTGATGTCTTTGGGGTCATCCAGGCTGACTCGCACAATGTAGAGCACACAGGTGAGGATCTTTAGGGCGAAGTTGAACAAGCGGATTCTCAGGCCTAGAGAGGAATGAAAGCATCTTAATCACAGGTTTCTCTCTACCTTTCTACAGTCTAAAAGTGTTTGTGTCCCTAAAGCTTTTCATACAACTCTGCAGGCTCAAACAGAGTCCACCATCAACTGTAAAGTGGGCAGATTTCTCCTTGTTGCATTAAACATCTGTGTCCTGGAAGCAGAAGTGAGGCAGACTGCCACCGCTCTGGAACCCTGACGCGGTGGATTTTCCACAATCTTCTTTCAAATGCTCCCAAGAGTAACTCTCATCATTTTATATGCACCAATGGATGTTGAAATTCTTTAAGATAGCTGACTGATGGATATACCTGAGAGGAAGGATCACTAATGATCACAGATTTCTTTTGAAGGCACAGAAACACAGTACAGACACCCCTTGTTTCTTTACTTATAGCTAAAAATAAGTGCCTTTACTGAAAGTTGTTTTGATGCAGCAGGAACTTCAAAGAGATTCTAGTATAGTTTGTAGAATTTTAACAAGTTTGATATTCAGTATTTGATGTGATGACTTTTATTCTCCAACACAGCTCCAACTCGCTTTCTTCCTTGTACTTTTTCGCAGCTGTCCGGTTCCAAAGTTCCATTTAATGTTGAGCTTCAGGCCTGTTGTAACTTATTTTCAGTGCACTTCTTCAGTTGCTGGCATACCTCAGCCTTTTCTCCCCGTTTCCCTGAAATACAAATGACTTCTTTGCCGTCTTTCCAGGGGATCATTTCTGATCCATTAGATCCTTTGTCTGGCTTTAGCTGGATTTTTCTCCTATTCCTTAAGAGCTCCCATTTCAGATGCAGTTCATCTGCTTTGGATGTTTTTTTTTTTCAGGCCTGCCTTTCCTCTTTTGCCCGCCACCTTTCCAGTTTTTCCTCACGCTGCGCAGCATGCTGTGAGTGGGGAGTGTTTGGCTACTAGCTCTTTGGGGGACCTTGTCAAATTGGCTGATGTCTGGATTTTGATCATAAATATAACTATAGAGAAGGAAAATAAATATGTGTCTAACCCAGTCCAAGAAGATACTATTTAAAATTGCTTCTTTGCAGGGTTGCCAGTTATATGGAGGCACTGCAGTGGACAGAACAAATAATAATGCCGAAAAGAAACCTTTGAAAGCTTTTCTGAAAGTCCTGAGAGCTATTGCTGAAGACCACTTTGAAATATTACAAGAATGTATGGATCATTGAAAGCAAAACACAAAGACACAAAGATTTTTGGGTATAGACTTTAGACTTTAGCACGTCATTGGAATATATAACTAAATAAATAAGAAAGCCCAACTGTCACCACCAAATGCACATTGGGACTTGACTGCCAGCTGAAACAAAGATTTTTCACCAAATTAATCTATACTAAACCAGAATTGTGAAACGATTAGACATCAGAGTTCAAACATTTCAAACCGAACCATTAGACTGATGCTTTATGTCACCGGTTCTGTTAGATTAGTGACAATCTGAGGAATACTCAGCAGAGCCAGGACCAGTTCTGCTGAGGGCTTCTTAGAGTCAACGTTATTATTTTATTTTTTTGACAACTGGATGCAAATGGCCGACTTCCAGGGACAGTGCATCAACCTGCAGAGCTGTCCCACTTCCTCTTTAATGCATGTTGTGGCACTGCCAGCCTTATCTCCTAATGAGAAATACACAGCAGCTCTGCATCATCTCAGCAAATGGGCCGCTGTGTCCCCACTGGGCCCCCGCGTGCGCTCGCCAAAACAGAGCGATTGAAAATGAGTCGGCTAATGACATCTGAAAACGCTGAATTACTCTGAACGTGGAGATGCATCATTACAGGGAGCAATTTCCTATTTTATACAGTTATTCATACAATAGGCTCTAAACACATCAGCGAGTCTCTTTCCAACTTCACTAAGAAAAAAAGAAAAAAAGCAGGAGAACTGTGGAAACTCTCAGCTCTCGGCTGTACTTACTTGACCTTTGGTTTTTGATGAAGAAAAGCTTCAGCCTCTCCTTGAAGGTGTTTTCATTCACATAGAACTCTACCTGTACCCTGCAAGAACAGAATTACAAGTGATTGCACACGAATACAGTCATGCATGAGCCGGCACTCTCTGTGCCATAAAACATGCTTACAGTCATACCATATAACCCACAGAAAAGCAGAGATAAGCCCATAATGACGGGTTTAATGGTACTGGAAAGTAGCAGGGGATGCAGGCAGTCATTCATTTTTTAGTGCTCATTTGAAATTTTGACACCAGGGTAAGCTTGAGCCTTTTTTTTTTTTTACAACATTCATCCTAGCACAACAAATTAAACATGTCAGCAGTGTTACTAATACAATCCACCCTTTTAAGGGTTGACTAAAGCTTCCAAGAAGGAAATTCAACAAATATACAGTACGGGCATGTGCAGGCCTTTGCAATAGTCACAATGTATAGACTGTAAGACTTCCTAAAACGACTTTTTACAGTAGTACATCGGTAATTGCAGTAAAGCTGGCCACAGACTACACCGGCACATGCACGTGCACAAGCTGTAATGCCTGTGCATGATGTAAAGATGTGGCACAAGCTGAGTTTCAGTTGAGTTTAAAGTTGCAAACCTAGCTCCTGAAATACATAATTCGAAATAGCTCATCCGGTCATGCGGGGGGTTCAATTATTTCAACGATTTCTTATAGATTTGAAAGTATCTGCATCGTTTCGGGCTGTTCTCTGCTCATGCATGAGCGGGGACTAAACTAATAATGAAAAAATAAATAAACGACAGCAAGATCATAACAGCAAGATCAGGCTGAACTTTTTTTCAGCAACGGCGCATTTCATGAAATATTAAAAGCTTTGAAATATTTGAGTGGATATAATAGACTTCCATTCGCCCGGGAGCTTTGAGCAAACAAACAAACGCCTCGGCAGGAGAGGCGATGTCGCTGCAGACCTGTGGACGGGCTCCATGAATGCAGGTAATGAGCCGGGCCCATTGTTCGTTCCTGTAATGCACAGGGCTCATTCAGGCTAATGAGCGCGAGGGGGGAAGTAATAATGCTCCCGCGGTCACAGAAGTGGGACCCTCAGACCCTTCTACCTCGTTTGATAAAATGAATATGGGACGCGAGGAGACAGAGGAGGAGAGGAAGGAGCGCAAGGGCAATTACAGTGGCCGATTCCCCGGAGGAACTCTGTGGACATGTGGGTGGAGAGAGGGGGGTGGAAGCAGGAACTAAACAAATTAGCCATCTTTAGGCTTTATTTCCATAGAGACAGCTTCCACGGAGGCCAATGTTTGGTCATGTGTCCACGTCAGGTTCTCCAAACCTTAGGTATTAAAAGGGTACATGTACTTGTACAAAGACTTTTTGATGAATAAGCTATCAGTACTCTTTACAATGCAACATCACAGCTTTATGGCATTTAATCACGGCAGCTAATAGCATATTCTGCTCTGACATCTGAAAACAGGCGCAGAGAATAATGCAGATTAATGACAGCTACAGAGGCTTCACAGCTCTGCAGCTCCTCTCTATATGCATGTAATTACCCTGAATGCAGGAAATATGAACAGAGCAAACACAGAAATCTGACTCCTGCCCACACTCACCGGCACAAATGGTCACATTTAGGTGTTCCCATGAACCCGTTAGACTTTGAAATATCAATTCATGTCACTTTTTCTTCACAGTTTTACCTAAGAATCAAACAATGAAATGTGGCTTGTATGAACTTTTCTATTGTGTGCTGCCAGCGGCATGTAGGCGTAAGATTGTTAGCTCGACAATCTAAAACCTGGTTGATTGTAATAATAATTTTCCCATGAACTTCAGTCACCCTGGAGCGGCAAAGCTCCAATTCTGCATTCAAATTCTCCAGATGTCGAGGACGAATCCCAAAGAAAACGTGTCACCGTCAAAAATGCAGTGTCGGCATCGTTGCCCACGTAAATTCTAGAAAAAGAACAAAGTTTCGGTTATAGGAAGGTGCCTTGCATTGAAGTTCCAAGAGGCGGCTGTAAATATCACTTGCTCAACTCTGGGCGGCAGCCAGCAGGCATGGAACCATGGCAGCACTATTCAGGTGCTCGCGCTCTTTTTCTCTGACATCTCTATAAAGTATTACTAACCATCTGCTCAATCTTAAGAAGAAGAAACATTTCCTGTAGCTTCAGTAAAATTTAAAGGCGGTATGAAAGGCATGACAGCATATGTACATGGCTCCGATGCATCATGACATATGTCATATCTACATATGTGGAGCCTCAAGTATCCTCGGCAAAAAAAATGTAATTCAAACTAAGCATTGTATTGGTAAAATGACGAGGAGGAATTGATATATGACTGTCACTGGTGAAAGGTCACGCACACTAGGAAGCTGTGCTTGGTGGCGATCATAACTTTTAAGATATGTAAACATTCCGTTTGCTTATCAGGCCTCAGGATAAACAGGCTGAGAAACTTATTTTCATGCACGATAGAAAAAAAAAAAGAAAAAAAAGCCAGACTGGCAGATGCTGCGTGCCATGTGGAATATCTGTTACAAACTCAGACGAGCGGCAGCATCTGTTATTTAACAGGGCGATGATGATCATTAGATCTTTGAAAGCCTTTTGTTTATGCCGCCGACTGATACGGGGGCTTCTGCGACTATTATCAAACTCATATCAAGCGACATACATTGCACAGTTAACAGCACTTATGGGCAGAAGAAGTGCATGTAGCAACACCTAACCCTCTTACCTCTGTTATCTCTGTCCATTAGGAGGCCTGGTGCAACTTATTGCGTTGGGCCTGCTGATAAAAGCTCAGACCTCAGGGCACAGAGTCAGAAAAACAGTAGTTGTGAACTGAGGCTTGTAAGCACAATTACAGCAGCCTTTCAGCTCACACCTCACAATATTCTACATTTCTTGCTGCTGTTTAAGGTCTTTCGGCTCTGTGACTAAGCAAATAGCTGCAAATATAACATTCCCCGTGAACTCCCAGAGCAATGGCATCAAGGATTCTAAAAATAACTGATTTGAAGATGAATCTGCAAAAGAAGCCACTTTTTTTTTTTGCTCTCCCTGTGAGCTGCCGCCAAAACGAGAGCACGTGTCTAATAGCTTTATCATAGCACAAGGAAAAAACTGAATAGTCCTGAGGCCAATGTGCTCTGTAAGATATACACTGAAACAGGAATCCCCAGGAGAAACGTGTTATTAAAATCAGTTGTGAGGTAGTCAGTCACTTTAAATGGGAGCAGGGCGGGCTGAGGATGGATGAGGTCGAAATGAAAGATGGCAGAAAGCTGCAGCGGGTCAGTTCAGGCCATCCTCAGCAACCGTGTGAAGTGAAAGTTTGGATAATAGATCAGTAGCTGGGGTCATTTTGGCTTGAAGTCATTTGATGCACAGCGGCAGATGGTTTGATAGATCAGCGACAGAATCAGCATCTTTAAAACGTGTCTGTCAACGAGTTGGGATAGTGTGCAGTTGAAAGAGTGATGCTCACTTTATTCTTATATCATTCACAGCGAATACCAATGTTAAATGTCTGGTTGACTGAAGTCAACTTAAACATTGGCTAATCCCCTGAACATGTATGTATATACACATATTTACAGACAGACATAATATATAGAAAATATCATCTAAAAAATAAAAGTTCTGAAAAATAAAATAGCTTTTTGAGGAGTGCTTCAACTCATCCCTTTGAGGTTAAGTTTCTCAGAAAAAAGAGCAGAGATCTCAGATACTTGTATTTGCTAGTCTCTGAGAGCTGCTGTCTGGAGAGAGAATGATGTTACCATGAAGCCAGAAAATAGAAAATTAGAAAACCAATGAAAAACAAAACAACTTTTTAAATTCAGTGAAAGACAAGTTATAGAAACCAAATAATAGTGGAATCTTCTTCTCTCTGGGGTTCTACACTGTTTAAAACTTTCTTTTTAATCCACAAATCAATTGATAGGTCGTCCCTTTTTACAAAGAGAGTCTTCTGCTTCGTATTCTTAATTTGGGTTGTAATCCAGCAGGTGAGTTAAAACTACAGTGTCACATAAAAGCCTGAAAATTAGTGCAGGGACATGGCACCAAAAAATAAAGAAATGCCTGGGTTCAGATTAGGTTACGCTTAACAACTCACCAACCGTGCTCGCCGAGGGACCCCTCGGCATCAAACTCATCCATCTTTGAAGCTCGATGCACTTTAAGCAGCCGCTAAGCAGGCGGAACATTTCTGCCTTTGGTGAACACGCAAAAATGCTTATCAGCTCTTTGACGCTGTGACCTAAAACCAGCGCCTTCTTTCATCTCATAAGTCAACTTTTCTCTGCAACCACAGGAAGCGCACGGAGGCACCGAGGTACGGCACAACTACCTACAACTAACTACACAGTGAAAAATGACACGGTGAATACCACAATGTATTCATCGTGTCAGCCTCCGTTCCTGAACGCTGTGTTGCCAGTCAGTCATTGACTCTTTTTTATCCAGAATTTCCAATCGCACATTTTTACTTGGAAGAAGAACATAACACTGAGGAGGAAATACACGTCACGTCTTTAAAGCTCAACATCCTGCACCTCACCCAGGGACCACAATCCAGTTTCAGACAGTAACAGGCTGCCACATCAATAGACAGGGAGGACATCTCTGCAGGGGTGGGGGTGGTGGGGGGTGGGGGTTGCTGACATGCAGAATTGCAAGAAGCTGATGACAGCTAAAGCTTCAAACTTCCCTCTATAAGCACCACCAGGGTGTAAAAGCTTCACAGGGTACGGAAAAAGCAGCCGAAACAAAACTACTCCCGTCATACTGACAGTCATTTAACTGTAGGTGTATAAAACCGTTCACCGTATTAGTATTGGATCGTTGTTGGATTGTTGTCTCTGGCTTATGTGGCTAAGCTGGTCGGCCTTGTTTTTTTGATGGGCCGTCATTTATAATGGGAAACCACCTAAACTGTATGGAGTCGGGTCGGCCCGAACCTTGCTGGGCTGAGTAGATGCTAATGGAAAAGAAGAAAAAAAAATCCATCTGAGTGGCATTTTCTAATCTGAAATTTTCTCTGTGTTTAAACACTGTGTGTGTTGGAGGACTTGTAAACAAATTTATTGTCGGTATTGTTGGTGGAGAATGAGTCTCGGACTTGAGGCTGCTATCAGATGTCTCTGAATCAATTTGCTGCCCCATTCATGATTTTATCCACAGCTGATCCACAACACACTGATGCCTAATAGGTGGACAAACCATTATGAGTGGAGTTTACATTTCAATAGAAGTTATTTTCATTCCATTAAAAGCAACAATGTTTACTCACATCTCCACATCATCACTTTTAGCACCTGTCACCCACGGCTGTTTAGTTCTGATATCAAACTAGAGGCTTGGTTAATGGAAAAGGTGCAGGAATCTAAACCCAGTGAAACTGGAAAATATGTCGGCCTTACTAAAAACTAAGCATAATAAAAAACGCACACACATCAGCTTGGCCTCCATGACTCAGCAAAAAAGAAAAAGAAGAAAAGAAGTAGGAATGCAGCGGCTCCCCAGCTCAGTGTGTCGCTGAATTCCTTCAAGCTTTCTTTTCGGCAAAAGAAAAGGAGCTTTTATTTACTATTCACCCAGATAGATGCATACAAACGCTGCTTCGGCGGTTTTATGGGAACCCACTGAAATGAAAAAGGAAATGAATCATAATGATGAGGTCATGAAAATTCCCCATCATGTCAGAGAATCCCAACCTCGCGTGCGTCTGAACGCAGATCGGAGCGGTGGGCAGGTCCCAGTCCGTTCGGCCACTGCAGTCCGAACCGGGAGAGGGAGGAGAAACCTCCATTTGTCAGTGCGTTAAAACCTCTGCAGCCGTTTCAGAACCATCAGACCACGGATACGAGCTCTGCATTCGAACCACTTTGAGGTACCCCACACTGTCCTATGCAAACGCACACTTACCACGCAACCGATGAAAAAATTTCAGTCATAAGCTGGCAATAAAAAAAAAAAAGGAATATTTCACAAGATCGGAAACCGTAGATTCAATCTGTTTCCACCATTTAATTTTGACTGCATCCTGAAAGCCTCCGTGTCCAAACAGATTAGAAATAACCCAACCATATGAAACTGTTTCCATAGTCACTGCCTTCACAGCATGCATACAGTACAAAGCACAGACAGCTGCTTGTAGGTCTTATGACACAAAGATTAGCTGAAAATTTGGAAAGTCTAAGAAGGGTTTTCACATCTTTGCTTGAATCGTTTTTCTTGCTCCATGATCTCACTTTGACAACACTCGAGCAAAAGACTGGCGTGCACATTCAGTCACTTCCCCTGGAGGGTGATGACAATCAAGCTTCCTTTTCACCACTTTTTTTTTTTTTTTACATGATCAGATTGGACAAAAATTAGGCTCTGAGCTAAATGTCTTGGCCAAAACGAGTGGTGAAAAGGTAACCAAAATGTGCTCTGCCCCCACTAACAATACCCAACCTGCCTGCTTTGCAGCTTTACAGGTGTATAAAAGTGTTTAAAATGGCTGAACGTGCCATTCCCCACATATGGTCTTTGCAACAAAACAAATCCAATGCAAACTGTGCAACGTATGCGCTCTGGTGCAGTCCGGTTACCACTGCAGACACGATCCATGCCATGCACGCATGATGCTGCCAGGGACTTACTGGGCATTGGTTGAGTCCATACTGTACTCCTCCTGATACCTGGATACAGCACACATGGACACAGATAGGCACAGGTTAGGGGGTGGTGGGGTCGAGGAGGCGGGAAAGAGGAGGAAACGGTGAATAGCAGGTAAAGAATGCCCCTCAGGATTGATTTGCATTTGCTTGTATTTGTTGGCAGAACACAGAAAACTTTACAACCTTCACAGAGAACCTTAGAAACAGTTTGTTCTACAAGGACAGCTGACCTATATTCATTTTTTAGCATTTCTTTTTAAACGACATGAAAATTAGTTAAAAACAAATTTGTCCTCAACCCCATTTGTGCTCAGTTTAATATAGTCTCCATAAAGGTGTCAGTGTGTTCATTTGCCACATACAAGTAAATAGTCTGTGAAATGTCTTTTTTTTTTCCTGGTCCTGACAAGAAATACAACTTGTATTTCAGAGCTGCTCGCTCACAAAGCACGTGCAGGACAAACACTTTACATTAAGTTGATCAAAACAACGCATGATGTTAACAGGAACAGAGCTCTTAATGCAAACCACAGGGGATCAGTGGACACTCCCGTTGGGTCAGACTGAGAAGTTTCCATCTTGAGTTGACCAATAAAAGGGTGTGTAACACTGAGGGAAATGACCGACAGAGAGGGAGACACAGACCATTTGTTTCAGGGACTGACAGGTGGACAAAGCTGAGGGAGAAATGGACACATTTAAAGCGCACAGTTTAATCAGATTCTGAAGAAACCAACTTTCCTTAAAAAGCCATTACTGAGGGGCAGCCAGTCGAGGCAAAGAGGCGTGAAGTACGGCTTCTTCCAGTCCAGCAGTCAATAATTACAAGTTCAGTCTTTGTTCAACGCACGTTAGTATTACACATTCAAAACTCTAAACAAAAAACCCTGCAGTAACCAGGCAGTCGCCGAGCAAGAAAAGCACAACATGAACAACTGGTTTTAGTCAGAAACACAAAAAAAACATTTTTTTTACTCTGGGATCTGTCACAGTGTGTCAAGAATGTAGCAAATGATCTGAAACGATGTGGACAAACAGAAAAGACCATTAAGATGCTCGAATGCTGCCGACAAATCTCATAAAGATTTAATCTGGAACATCATTTCTGTCTTGTATAAACAAAGCCTGCTTGTTGGAAAGGAACAAGTCAAGTCCAATGATTTTGTAAATAAATAAAAAAATCCTGCGGCAGTCTTTAAGGCAGAAAAGTGTACAACATGATGGGTAATGTTTTATCCCATTGACGTCTCTCTATATGATGGCTCATTAATCATTAACCAGGAAATTGTGAGGTTACAAGGTCTTTTTCCTATTTTCAGCCTTCCATCACAAACCTTTTGCCGTTTCAACGGCAGAGCGTAGGTCAAAAATACAATCCATTCTGGGCTGTCATATCAAATTAATTTAAAGGGTCGAACTAATAATTCAAAACATGAACACCAACTATGAGCGGACAGCTGCCACACAGCTGGAAATATTCCAAAGCTCTCAGTGAGAATAAACCTTTTTTATGCTGATGCGGTAGAGGAAAATTCCCATCTATCAATCAAATGGTAGATTGGTTTCTGAAACCAGTTCTATAAAAAAGGTAAAAAATGCGATGTAATTTATTTTTTTGGTTGCTAAAAATGTATGATATTGTTATTGAAAACTTTGGGATAGTCCAATGCTATGCAATAATAACCCAGTTCTTTGAACTGTCCCTTAACATACATTAAAGAAAGGGATTGTGTATATCTTTGTAAACTTCTATTGTGACCAGTGATGGATTATGTTGGCTTTTTATGTATAGTTTGGCGTTTTAAATGTATTTTATATATATTTTAGGCAATGTTAATGAAATAATGTCAATACATCCTATCATGGTTTCAACCTATTGATTAAAATGAACCTATTCAAATGCTCTTTTTGGCATCATGTAACTATAAAGCTTTTGTTCCAACTTCTTTTAAAAAGTATTGTTCTGATCAAACTCAAGCCCGAAGTGATTGAACTGTAATTCGCAGTTTTCCTCAGAAGCGAGTGACACAGTTGTCAGCCTTCCCTTCAGGGTTCGTCAACAGGTGAAAGAACAACAGGGATAGCGATTAGCTGATATCTGAGATACTGCACATGACAACAGCTTATGAGATCCTCTGTAATGATTCCAGAGTCCATTTGGTGCCTATTTGAACAGCGCTTTAATGTGCAGTTGAGAAACTATCTGGCTGCTAATAGCTTCGACACAGTAGAGCTTTGATAAACAGACACTCCCTTTAGTCCTGTTAGCCAGCAGCAGATACAGCCAAAAGTCTACAATCGCTTTCATCCGCAGGTCCTGTCACAACAATAGAGCTAAAAAATTCAGAAACCGCCACATTCCGCAGCAACAAGCATGCTGCTCTTTTCTTACTCTTACTCCTATTACGGTTAAAAGCCAGACATCACAAAGGCAAAGTGTTCCTCACCTCGCATCAGACTGGAAATCACACGCAGGGATTGAGATGCTGAGAGAACAAGTGCAAACCGGCGCCTTCAAAGTGGCCTTTCAATTACTTTCCCGGAGAGCTGCCTAAAGCGGGCTGATGCTAGAAAGTGGGCGGATCATCCAAACAAGCGTTATCTTTTTTAAAAACAACAGGGATTTGTAGTTTTTTCAGGGCACGTCCGTCCTCCGGTTAGCCTCCGTGGGACCATCAGCGCTTAATGAGCAATAATGATGGATGACACGTAATGTACCCCCGCAGACTTCATTAAAGCCCCCTCAAATTAAATCAGTTACTCTACGAAAGCAGCTCACTGTAAATAAGCGTTGGATGTGCAGACGGAGGACAGTTTGGTGTTCCTGTCAGTTCTAATCGCGGCACAGTCCAGAAGGGCTGAATGTGGAGAGACTGGGAGCAGGTAAGCTGCTATCCGGGTGCACGGATATGCAGCCGAGTAAGAAAATGTGCAGAGAAGAAGAGGAAACATGACGCCGAGTAGGATAACAGTCAGCTTTACAGCGCGGAGGGATTCTAATGAACTTATGAGGGCTTTCATGAAATCTGTCTGAAGGCTCAACTTTCTAAATGAGATAGACTTAGTGGGTGGATTCTGAGGGGTCAGAGGTGCTCTGTGGTGCTTTGCGAGTCGACAAAAACTCCTTCTTCAAAAATTTGGATGACTTTATGCGTGTTTGGGATCGGCTTTGGCTGAGCGGGATCAATCACTTCATATTTGAATCTCTTCCAAACCTCAGCTGGTCCATTTACCACCTGCAGGATTGTCACCGGCGTCCCAAAAGCTCTATTATTTACAAACATCCAGGGGTTCTCTAGAAATTATGCGGGCATAAATCAACTCCCAACAGCCTGAGCTTCACACCGGGCCTGATCATCGATTCTCCTGCTCTCTCCGCTTCCTCTCATCCGCCAGCCAGCAGGACTCAAATCCCATGCTGATCGCATTTCGCAACCTGGAGAGCTCTCGGGATTCCTGCCAGGGACCCGCCGGTCTGCGGGGGACCCGGGGACACGCCTGCTTCTGGCGAGCGGGGCCCAACGTATATGTGCGTTTCTGGAAAAGGACTTGACCGGAAGATTACCGTAAAGGGGAACATTTATTCATTCATTCATTCATTTATCCCTTTATTTATGATGCCAGCCTGCCTGCATCCGTGATGAAAATACTCAATCAAATCTGTTGCCCTGGGCAACTGGCCAGCTGACACATTACAGCCCAAGACATTTGATGATATCATTTAAAAGATGAGGACAGCCTTAGCTATGACCAGTGCGGTTTAGTCTGATAATCTGACAGGAAGCTGCTCTTTCCACGGTCGGATTCTGATCACGAACAAATCACCAATCATCCTCACAGCCTCCCTGCACACTGCCCCCCCACGCCCCCCCTTTTTTTTCTTATTTCAAATGTCAGCCTCTAAAACCGTGCCTCCACCTCCTCAACCGAGTTTATCTTCTCCCACCTCTGATAATAGGTAATTACATGACATTTCAAAGCTTGGATAACAGCAGACAAAAAGAATCCTCGGCTGTCTGTTGGTGTATTTATCATTAGCTCTGACATTAGACTTCATTTATTACCCTGTAATGGCAGAAGTAAAACAGATTCTATACAGTTTGTTTGTTTTTTTTGCGCACAGAGCTGACTAAAACGAATAAAA